AAAAAAAAACAAAAAAACAATTGTATTAAGGGTAACATTTTGCTGCTAAATAAATTAGTTTCGTCTGATGTGTTTGACTCCATGTTAGCATTTCATTGTTTGTGGAATCTATGTTAAACTTTAACACTCAAACTGAAATAAAATCCTGCTTCAGGATGCAGCCATACAAAGAACTATAATTCGGTTTTATTCACTTTACCTGCTTTGTCTGTTAGGAAACAGCTGAACATAGACTTTTTGTGCTCCTTTGGTGAGTTTAGTGCTCCACCTGGTGCACAGTGAGGGTACTTTTCAATTTTTAGATTTTTTTTTTTTTTTTGATTGATTTAATAACTTTTAACACTGGTAGTTTACAGGCTAAAATAACACTAGTTAATCAGTATAAACCTCTCAAATATAGAAGATGTCATAATGCATAGTGATAAAAATATGATCCTAATCCTTTATTCTTACTGTATCTCTTTTTTTAATCAATTCATGCTTAATGTGGTTCTGAAGTTGCAATAAGGTAAAAAAAAGAAAAAAGAAAAAGAAAGACCTTACAGAGGATAGAAAGAGCTGCATCAAGAACATAGATGTAACATCTTTGTACACTTTATGAACTTAGCAAACCGATGCTATCAGTCAAAACAATAAACATTAAAGCCTTAAGAGACATAAATCAGCTTTTTGCTTCAAGTTGATTAAAATGCTGGATGCATTTAAAGCATTTCAAATATCTTTTTGTGTTTTCTGTTGTACTAAAATGTTAAAATGTAATGAAAAAACTAAATGATTTCAGTAGTTCAGTTCATTATTATATTGATTGAATATATATGGAGATTTTTTTTTTAAGATTTTGCAAATGTTGAGTAAAAAAAAAAATCCAGACTAATCAATCTGGTATGAATAAACACATCTTTGCAGAGAAGATGCAGTGATCAGCCTGGTTTAGATAGATGATTTAAAAAAAAAAAAAGCCATTAATAAACTTGACGTCACCTCTAGCTTTAGCTCTGGTGACTCCAACCTTTATCTTGACAATATTCAGTAGATTTTCTACAGCAGAGATTCCTAAAATATCAGCCTGTTTATATATAGTGGTGCTCTCTATATTTAACAAATAAAAAAATATTTACAGTCATTTTAAGTACATTTTTTTTTTTATTTCTAATCATTCAAGTCTTCATTTAAACATATCTTCAATTATTTTATGGGACATTAATTATTCAATTGTGCATTTTACCATTTATTCCATGTTTAATGTTAGAAAGTATTAAATTGATTTCTTTTTAAATAAATAATACTGCTTATTTAATTCTACATAAATTTATTACATGATATATTTTGGCCCTCTATATACCCCTGGGATCATATCACAATGATTGAGGCTCCCCAGTTGGTGTCTTGCGATGCTCTGGAGGGTCGCGACCTCCACTTTGGAGCACAGCGACTTAAATCAGGTATTAGTAATATTGGTAATGTGAACGGATGCAACGTTCAGGTTAAAAATGAAATAAACTCTATAAAGCTCTTTGTGACAGCCTGCTGTCACACTGAAGCTGTGTGGTAACTTTTATATTTTTCCTTTTAAAAATTAGCTGCACATTTAGACTATTTTCTTTAGCCCGACTTTAAGTTAGCTTTTTGCTAGTTATCCCCCTTGTGTCAACAGTGGTCTGATCAGCCACTATTTAAGTTTCCCTCATGTCTTGTTTGTTAGGTCAGTTTGTGCTT